GGCAGCACAGAGAAAAAAATATCAGTTTGGTAACTTTGCTGGGAAGTGAGCTTCTCTTCCTTAATGTACCTCCCCTGTTCTAATTCATTAAGTAAATACAGAAGAGAATGTGGAATTTTGGATGCTAACAGCTACCTGTATTTTACAGGCTCTATCCTGATAATGGTGGTGTCATCAACTTTGCCTCCTGGTTCTCCTTTGCCTTCCCCACCATGATTTTGTTACTGGTTTTGGCATGGCTTTGGCTACAGATACTGTACTTGGGCTTTAAGTGAGTACCCTTCACCCTCTGCAGTCCAGCTGATGGACCTGATCAAGGACTCATTGCACAAGTGATCCTTTTATTGATGGGGAAAGTCACACAGCAAGTGACAAATTCCTCACAAAGAACAGAGACAAGCAGAACAGCACACTCAGTGTCTGTTAAAATACTGCACCTTTTTCTCTGAGGAATCTGATCAAATCCCAGATAAACACACTCTGTAGATGCAAATAGGAAGTTCCAACAGCATATGACCTGTTCTGTGGCATTGTTGTCGTGTCCCAAGAGATTGCTGTGCTTCAAAGCAGGAAATGCCTTTGTGACAAGAGTTGCTTCAGACCTAGAGGATTAGTCTTGTGCTATTATTTCCAATGCTAATCACCCCCAATACCCAGCTTACATTACCTACCTGTTTAATAGTTAGCCTATCAAGTTAGTATTATCCCCAACCTCCCTTGTTTTACATAGCAAGAGTGCTGTAATACCTGAAATGGTATTTTCATCTTCAAATTCCTCCTTTAAAATTCTCATTTTCTGTCATTTTAAAAAGCTTGGCAACTCTTTACTTCCTTGTGGTCATATAGCCTTGTCAGTCACACTGAGCTTGTCCTGGTCTAGTGGAAGGGATCCCTGCCCTTGGCAGAAGCTTCCTTCTGATCACCTTGGCAAGCCATGGTGCAATAATGCAGTTAGTACCCACCGTCACTGCCAATGCTAGGATTATAATATATTTAATGTCAATATTAATATATCTAAAAGACATTATGACTGAGTCTAAAATTTGAATTCTTAACTGAGGCTATCTGGCAAGTGTCTCTGATATTTCTTGTCCATTTTCTTCTAGTTTTAAGAAGAATTTTGGTTGTGGTTCAAGTCCCTCTGCCAAGGCTAAGGAAAAAGAGGCCTATGCCGTCATCAAAGAAGAGAGCAGGAAGTTGGGCAAAATGAAATTTGCAGAAATAGTAGTTTTGATCCTGTTCATACTCCTGGTACTGCTCTGGTTTACAAGAGAACCTGGTTTCATACCAGGCTGGGCAACTGTACTTTTCAACAAAGATGATATAAGGTACTACCACTTTTCTTCCTCAATTTGAGTAAAATAAGCATGCTGGATTTTATAAAAATGAAAACATAGCTGATTAAATATCTGACTGGTCTGTTGCAGCTACGTCACTGATGCTACAGTTGCCATTTTTATTTCACTTTTGTTGTTCATCATCCCTTCTGGCTTTTCCAACAATGCACAAACAGGTGAGTTTAGTGAAGCATCAAAAATCAACTGCCAGAATAGGTACATGAGAAGTTTCATGTTTGAGGTTTACAAAGGAAATTTCAAATATTAAGTAAGATTTCAAACTGCTCTTCCTGCATAGCTACAGCTTCTGTTTAGTTTAGGGAAGGCACATATCCCATAAAAGTTCTCTGCTTCTCATTATTTAACCAAGTAGGAAACTCTTATCCCAGCAGGTTCCTGCCTCTACTATACACGTGTGTAAAAGCTTCTGAGGCTGGAATCTTCAGGAGAGAAAACAACAGAAACACACACAGTTCTGCAGATATCTTGCCACACTTTTTGCTCACCCTTCCCTGCATCATACTGTGCTTTTGGAAGCAGCTGCAGATCATTCATAAGTGGTTTTGCAGGTCAAGTTTTAAAACCTTTGTTGGTGAGGCTTTTAGCATTTGCTTTGGGAGGTAATTCCAGGTCTGCTGACAGAAGGGTTTCCTGATGTTCAGACTAAAGTCAGGTCCCACCAAGAAGTTCTCCTTTCTTTGGGGAATGTAATATGGCTTACAAAATCTTTTTGGATTTCAGGTGGCAGGTCGAAGTTCCAAGCACCTCCACCTCTCCTGAACTGGAAAGTAGTTCACGAAAAAATGCCATGGAACATTGTGCTTCTGCTGGGAGGTGGTTTTGCCTTAGCCAAAGGCAGTGAGGTAACATTCCTTGGCTTACCTGGGATCTGTGTCTTCCTATAAATGTAGTATCTTATTTCAAATTCTTTGGAAGGGAAAGCAGGTTTATTACCAGGTAACCTAACAAATGATCCTCTCT